GCCTCAGCCCATGGATTCAGCCTATATTATTCTATGTTTTGTTTTATTTTATTTTACTTTATTTTATATTTTATTTTACTTTATTTTACTTTATCCACCAGCTCCTTCATACAGAGAACCCTGCACACCCTCAATGTGTCACCTAGTGCTGTTTAAACCCAAATATACCCCAAAACCGCCCCATTTGGGCTCTGATTTAAAAGCAAAGCAGCTCTGGGGGTAGAAAGAAGCACAAATGAGCCGGTCTCAGCTGGAAAAAGTATTTTCCAACCCCAGCTGGAAAAAATATCAGTTATGGAGAAGGAAGCGCAGCGATCACTGCTCTGCCATCAGATTTGGGATGGGGAAATTGGGCTGGGGGCGTTTGCTCTTGGCCAACTCACATCGTAGGTGACTTCCTCCACCTGGTCCTTCTCCATGAGGAAGACCTTGGAGACCTGCTCGCAGGGGCCTTGCAGGACGCGGGCGATCAGGGGGTAATCGCTGGCTCGCAGCTTCTGCTTCTCTGCAACGCCAAAATCACCGGCGGTCAGCTCGGTGAACCATGGGGTTTTGCCATAGCTGTGCTGGGGGAGTTGGGTGTTTTTTGGCAGACTTACCCCCGCTGGTGTGGACAATGTACAGCGCAAACTCCTCTGCTGAGTTTTCAATCTGAACCAAGACATAAATCACTGTTAAACTCCTATGTTTCCACCCTAGGCTTTGCCAGCAACACACACAAAAAATCCCATTATTTCACTCCGCCATTGCATTTTACATCCATGGGATAGACATTCCCTGTGCACAGCAACCCAGGAGCGTTGTGTTTATTTATTAATAAATAAAACACTGAATAAACTCAACATACCTTGAATTTATTGAGCAGCAGTTTGAGGACCTGGGGTGTTGTCATCGTGCTGTTTATCCGCACGTTGGTGACAGAGCCGTACGCCGGCGTGAACACAGACGTCTATGGGACACAAAATCCAGTTAAACCCCATCGGGAGAGGGGTTCTTTTTGGGGGGGAGGTGCGATTTGGGGCTCACCTTGTGGTTGTAGAAGTGGCCGTTGATGGAGAAGCGGTGGCGGCGGATGCGGCGCTGCTCGCTGGGGGTGCGGGCGCTGCCCCGTCG